CTGCTGTAAGAAAGGAGGAGGAGGGAAGGGAGGGGGAATTGCCAGCTCCAACCAGGGACTCATTAGGTGTCAGCCCCCAGGAAAGCCAGTGCTTTGCCTTTCGGGGGCTGAGCTGCTTCTAGTCAAGCAGCAACATTTCCTTTTCATTAATAGTTACTGATGTGCTGCCTGCTGATTTCCTGCCCTCCTCAGGTATCACGTCCATAGCAAGCTGGTGAGCTTCATGGCACCTATTGACCAGTGCACAATGAATGATGATGCCAGGTGAGTAACAGATTAATTATGTTTCTCAAATGGCTTCATGACAGTGTGATATTGACCTGTTCTCCAGCCTGTCGCCCCCTCCATCTCTTCTTATCAGTTAACCATTTGTCACTGGCATCATTGCCTGGGTGTCTTGGTCACATCTGTCCTGGCAGTCTGGCTGAGCTTTCACTTTGTAATTACTGTGACACCAAACGAGAAGTTTTCATAAATCTCAGTACCTACATTTTGATTCCTGCTCTAAAACTCCTCTGACTTTGAACTCTTCCAGTTGGATGGAACTGGTTTGGAAATAGCTGAGTGACCTGATGTCTTCAGGTGTGATCAGAACTTAAAAAGAACTTGTCTTTTGACAGAAATGACAACTTATAAATTCTGGTTATTGCGCATTTTTTCTAGCTCAGTTAATAACTGGAATAGTTCTCTCAAGATTCACTCAAGACCTAAATGTTGCTTGTGTTTATGTTTATTTAAAGAGGGAAGAATTTTACTGGAAGACTGTAATGTTTTCATGTGCTAATTAGAAAAGAAAATGCCAATAAATTTGTGTGCACAGTCACTAGATAACTCCTCTACACATACACCCAGAATTCTTGAGGATTACATTTTTACACTGAATCTCCAAATGCTGAGCATTTCGTGGGAAGGAGGTGGAATAATTTTTCCAGTGAATGGATGTAGAAAGCTTGAGAAACATCTTTCCCCTGGGTTGTGGAACATGTTTGTGCTTTGTGAGGGAGAGATGTCATTTGTCTGTTTGTGAAATGGAAACCAAATACCTGCTGTTCTTCAGCTGCTGCCTTTTGGGGGATTGCACAGGCTCCTGGATGAGAAGTAAGCTGCCACTAAGATGCTTTGTGTCCATAAGGCCTGTGCTCTTTCATCTTTCTCAGAGTTCTTCACTCTTTCTTTTTTTTTTTCCTATTTTCCCCAATAATAAACCTCAAGTGCTCTGATTTCTGAGTATGTTTAGATCCTCTAGCCACAAAAATAAACATATTGCCTGTGTAGGGTGAAAGCTGTTCTACTAGCTGTATTAAATGCTCAGTTCTTCTGCCCCTTACCTGGATCACAGGAAGAGAGAGGCAGAAATGACTTGGGCACTGTGGGATTAGACACACACACTTCTGTCTGTTTGGCAAATCAATCTAGTGTGTTTTTGTTTCTGATCTGCAGGGCCTGAGCAGCTCTCTGTGCTTCCCACCTGGCAGGGACCTCCTTCCCTGCATGGAATTGGTGTCTTTGCTGCTTTGGGTAACCCCAGATCAAACGTAGGGCAGGTTAGATGTGACAGAGTGATACCATCCTGTAGGAATGGTTCTGGGATGTGCTGCTTGTTCCCCACATCTCGTTGTCTGAGGGTCATTAGCAGGTGGTGTATGTGCTGTAAGAACCACCAGCTTGTGCCATATTCATTAACAATGTGCATCATTAATATTTCTCTATCTTAGTATTACGTCCAGTTGACTGGCTGCCTCTTATGCTTCAGGAATTTGGAATGAGTTTGGGCTGTCTGTCATTTTTGGGCTGTAGTACCTGTTGCACTGCCCTGCAGGTTGGGCAGGGTACAGACCCCTGCTCTGTCCCCCAAATTCAGGCAAGCTTAGCCCACATGGGATGTGTGTGAGGGGAGGAAGGTGCAAACAAATGGTGAGACTGCTAATCTAGGAGCTTTACTACATTTGCTGTCCCCAGAGGTGACATTGCCTCCTCCTTCACAGTCCACTGCACTCACTAGTGTTCCAAAAGTTGCACAGAAAATGCATTGTGCAAGCCAAAATCCTCCAGCAAGGCAAAGCAAACGTGAAGTGCATCCAACAGCTGGGACAGTGGAGTCATTGCGTGCAATGGCCTTCTTGGGCCTCAGCTCCCCTTCATCTGGCTCCAATCTTCATCACCCTCCTCCCCCTCCCTCCTCAGGAGGCACCTTGAGCCCCCCAAATGGCACAGGGCCTGGCTGACCCCCCAGAAACTGTTCCAGCTCATCTGGCAACACACTTCTTGTGTTGGGGACAGAGGGGTTGGCATTTGGTTGCCTGGAAATGTCTCCTGGGTTTTTTCCCCACGTGGAGAGGGTTATTGCATCGCTCACATGTGGCACTGAGGCTTTGGTGGCAGCAGCTGCTGCTGCTCATTGTCTGACTGCAGGAACGTAGTTGTGACATTAAGTTTATGAGTCACTTTGGAGGTTTTCCATACTCTCTGCTAATGGCATTGCAGGCACCGAGCTCCTGGTGCTGGGTTGGATGTGTTGATGTGCTCACACAGCAGCTGTGCCTGAGGGTCATGCCATGTGGGCAGCTGCATCCCACTCTGCCTGGGTCAGGCATCCCTGGATGTGGCTGGGGCAAGGCTGGAATCAGGCTGGGAAGGTTCTGCCCCTTGTTCTGCCAGTGGCATCGTGGGTGACCTTGAGCAGGTCACTCTGTGTTCTGTGCCTGGCTCCTCTGTGCCATGGAGGCCTATAAAAAGTGGGTTAGTAATAGTAATTTTAGTAGTTGTATTTAATATTTCAACGTGTATAGGAAAGCTTTAGTTTCAGATGCACAAATAGAAGCCTGAGCTTTCCTCACCACTGCCAAATGCCTGGTGGGTCCCTGCCACACACAGAACATGCCTCACCTCTGCCTGTCACAGTCTTCTTTCAGCTCCCTCCCCACGGGATGTGCTTGGGCTTTGTTTAGTCCTAATGTTGAGCTTCAATTTCCCTCTGCTGTAATTCAGGCCTGTTATTTCTTGTCCTGTTCCATGTGGGATTTAGGAACAGATTCACTGCAGCAGCCCTGGCACATTTGGGTGGGAATTCTTGTGAAAACCTTCCTTATTAGCTTCCTCTCCAGTTTACACCATTTGTGTTTGCATCTAGCCATAAAACTGACTCAGAGCACTGGAGTGGTCAGTGCCTGAAAATGAGGCCTTTATAGGTGTTTGGGTTCAGCTCTCCCAAAATGAAGGTATCTGTTGTTATCAGTCATATTTTGGAAATAGAACCATCTCTGGGGGTCACCTCACAGATCTCTGGGGTCACCTCACAGCTCTGCTTCAAACACCTGTGCCCTGGGCATGGGCCATAACACCTGTGGCAACACACAGGGGAGAAGACTTCAATATCTGCAGGTGAGCTAAGAAGAAAAACCCAGGCCTGTACACATGAGAGGGAAGGAGCAATGATAACCTTTCCTTTGTGGCAGAAGAAGGGTCTTCCTTGGCTCTATCCAGTCCTCACTGGGCAAAAGCAGAGGGGAGATGTCTGTGACTGTGTTGCTTTCATTTTGATGGCACAAATCACTGCAACTCCTTGCTGTTTTCTCTACACTTAATTAGCTAATGCAGCCTGGGAATCTCCAAGGGCCAATCCAACCCCTTAACATACTATGGTAACATAATATGATACTTTTGGGGGCTGATTCTCCTCTGCATTTGGGCCATTTCACACTGCTTTGGCTGTGCAGAGAGACCTTAAAATAGAGCAGTGACCTGCTAGCACTCACCTGGAGGTCCCTGTGTGCTGGTGGCACAGCTCTGGGATGCCCAGGACTTGGGAGAAACGTGTGTGAGGAGCAGCAGCCTGAGCACTGCAGAGAGAAGGGGATGAACACTCACTCCCAAAATGTTTTACAGCCTGGAGAAGAGAAATACACAAGTCTAATAACTGCCTTTGTCAACATCACTGCCACTTTCCTTCTTCCTCCTGCTGGTGGTTGGAATAATAGCATTGGTGGAGGCAATTAATCTTCCCCTTGCCAGTTTTCCATGCACCCTACACATGGGCATGGCTGTTTAACCTGTGCTCACACACATTATGCTGTAATGGGTGAGCCACTGGTGGCCTCCAGCTCTCCTCTCTTTTAACCCCTCCTTGGTAGTATTTTAAAACCTACACTGGAAAGTGATTTTTATGGTTATATGTTTATAGACTTTAACACATTTATTGTCCTCTTGGGCCAAGGTTTATCTAATCAGGCCAAGGTCAGTGCTATGCAAATGGCCTGAACTAAGACAAGGGACCTGAAGGTGAAAGCTGTAAGTGTGGTGTGGTTATCCAGAGCTGTCTTGGGCAGGAATTACCCAGGATTAGGACAGGGCTGGTTGTGATTTCTCCTAGGTTTGAGGGTGGCATCATGTGGGTGACACTTCTTGGACTTGCCTTGCAATACATTTTCTGCATCGTCAGCACTTTGGATGCTGCACTGACCATCACCCTTCAGCACCACCATGTGCAACAGAACTGATAATACACTGGGAGATGAGCAGAGAGAGATGATAGCCTATATCTCCAAAGGCTTTTGAGTCCAGAAATACAGGAGTCAAGAGCCTCAGGAGATTGCCAAAGGTGTCACACGGGTTTGGGCTAGAGCTGAGGTTGAACCAGACCTTCTGTGCAGTCACCTTCAGTTGGACAGCCTGATGTTTCAGGAGATCAGACACCTGTGCACATAACAAAGCCAGGTAAACGTATTTATGGGCAAACTGAGGCTAGAGATTCCCACTGGGCCTGCAGATCTGTCACCAAGTGAGGTATTTTCAGTACCTGCTGGAGTGGATCCCACGCACAGCCTAGTTGTGGCAAGGTCAGGTAAAGTCTGTGCTCCTGGGAAGAGCTGTGTGTGGATTTGGGTTTTATTCTATCTCTCTGTCAGCTGTGATTTATAGATCTTCAGATCTCTGCACTGTCCGTGTGTGTGTGTGTGTGTGTAGACTAAACACAGACACTGCGAAACAGAGTCTAATCTCAAATTACTGCAAAGTCTGATGAACATCTTAATTTCACCTCTGGAGGACAGGAACTTGCAGGAGAGAGACATCCTTTAAGGACACAGATGTTTGGTCCAAACACCTTTATCTCCCAAGATGACTCAGGTTATTCTGACAGGTAAAACAAGATTGTGCAAATATGCAACAGTGATCTAATCAGCTGGAACAACAGCAATATTTTAACTGGCGCTACCTTTTAACAGCATCATTAAGGGCTCTCATTACTCTTTTATTAGAGGCTCACTCTAT